GCCATGCTGATTTGGTGGACGACCCCGAAGCTAGGATGGGGGGGACGTCCGATGTGCCAATGCGGTTTCGGATTGAACCGTCGAGCTCTGTGTGAAGGACCAGATGTCCCGCATCTCGGCATCATGCTTGGATCGCTGCCTTCGCAGGGCATCCAAGTTTGTGAACGATCCTGGGTCTGTGGTGCAAAGAACCATTGACCACGTCGCTGAGGTAAGACCTGGTTCCTTTACTACTTTTGTTTTCCCAACTTGTAGCTTGGTCTGACCTTTGTGTGTTTTGTATTCGCAGGCGTTCATTGCTTCCATTCATTCGGACGTTGTAATGAAGGCCGAACTAGACAGGAGAGAAATCTTAGCCGCTAGGGAGAAGGAGAATTCCTCTGCTGCCCTGGAAGCTGCCACCACAATGAAGGGTGAGCTACTGAAGGCTCGCTCCGAAGTGGAGATTCTGAAGGCCGAGGTGGAGGCCAAGGTGCTGCTGCTAAAGAAAGAAGAAGAAAAGCACAAGGCCCACCTCCGAGCTGCTCACGCCATCACCAAGAGGCTGGAGAAGGAAAAGTTCCAGCTCCTTAAGGAGAAGGACGACCTGGCTCAGGTCCTTGAGGATAAGGACACTTCGATTTGGCGTCTTACTACCGAGCTCAAGGAGGTGAAGGAACGCCTCACCAACGGAGCTCTCTTGGAGGAAGCGTTCAGGTAGCACCCAGACTTTGATGGGTTTGCCAAGGACTTCAGTGATGCGGGCTTCAAGTTCTTGATGAAGGGCATCACTGCCGATATGCCTCATCTTCAGATCGATCTTAGCGATCTGAAGAAGAAATATGCTGAAAAATGGGCCTCTGGGCCTAACAGTACTCCAGGCCCCCAGTCCCTGGTGGAGAAGTACGTCAGGGAGCTGGACTCTGAGGAACGAGCTTCTCTTTCTGTTGAGATGATCGCGGAGATCGCCCCTCTGACGAGTGTACTCCTCATCTTCATCTCATCCAGGGTGTTCTTCATCGACTGGGTCGAGGTGAAGACCTCCTTGTTCAAGCACCTCGTCGCACACCGCTCGGTCTTCAGATCGAGACCCGGCACCCGCAGCTTGCACTTTCGTTGTACATCTCTTCCATGGTGCGCATCTGGGTGC